GGCTAGTGATTTGGGGGCAGAGCTGGGCAAGAAGCCAAGAGTTATTTACTTACAAATGGAGAGGATGGTGGGGAGAGGTTATTGTGGCTCAGTGGGGGGAAGCAGAATGTGGAAGGAAGAAGTATTGCAGTAGGACTCACAGGAGAAAGAACAAGGTGGTTTCCCAGGCAGGCTCCTCTTCGCTGTTGCCAAGCCAGGCTAATTTCTCTGTTTTCTTTCAATCACTGCCTTTTTGATTGAAAGAAAGCCATGTTGGCTTTCTGTAGAAGCCATATTGGCTCATCATAAATGATTTGATAAGAATAAAATGGTAGAAAGTAACATGAAAAACTCCTCTGCTTTGGCCCATGTCAAGAGCCCTCTGAGAATGTTTCGCAAGTGTCTGGATTAGTGTTGCCATCCTTTCTGTGGTCCCTGGCATGAATCATGTCTTCTTGAAATGCTTGTGAAGATGGCCAGGTCTATCCCACATAGTCCCTATTTCGATTTGAGGTGGGATTTTGGTGCCTGGATCATAACACGTATCCCTTATCCATTTTAGGCTTCCTTCAGCTATGTACAGAAGTGGGAGATGCAGCGTTGCATTATTAATAGAGCACAAGTAGATGTCACCTGCCGGAAGCAGGGTTTCTCTGGGCTGGAGCACAAGGCTTAGTTCTGAAAGTCTAAGAGGGGCTTCCTATCCCCTTTCTTCTGAAATGACGATAATTGACCCTGCAGAGCCCACATACTGCCCTCCCTCCCCTGGGTCCAGCAGAGAAGATAGAACAGAGGAGTTGACCAGAAGGACAGCCAAACCTGTGCTGCATGGAGGCAGGGAGTGAAAGAAAGAGTGGAGCTCAAACTCTCACCTGTTATAAAATACAGTCATTGTTCCTATCAGTAAAACATGGCTCAGGAATTTCCTTGGCTTTGAGCAACTCCTCTTCCCTCAGAAAGGACTAATAATGTGGCATTTCCTTCCTTAGGGGCAAAAAAAAAAAAAATGGACATATTAGTAAAGTTAGTAAAGCACTAGAAATATCCCTGCCTTATACATAACTGGGTTCCCCTATTAAAGCAACACATTTTATTTAGGGCACAATCCTTCTAACAGCCCCACTTGAACAAACAAGTACCCTTTGAGCTGAATATGTTGATACCTACTGTTTAGGAATTGGGAACCAGAGATGACAAAGATGTAGACTCTGCTTGAGAGGATCTTACAGACCAGAATGGGAGACAGACACTCATGTAATAGGGGAAATAAAGTTCAATAATAATAACAATGACAATGGCTAAATGTCCATGAAACAATTACCACATGCAGGTATTATGCCGACCACGTTACATACTTTATCTTGTTTAGTCCCCACAACAATCCTACTAAGGTATAGCATTCCCAGTCTTCAAATGAGGGCGTGGAGGCTTAGAGGTTAAGTAGCTTGCCAAAAGTCACACAGATAGCAAGACGCAAGATAGGAGAGTTGTACCGAGTTCTTATAAAAGTCATCATGTGTAACCATGGCATTATATGCCTACAGTATAGGACAGCACAGGATGCTACAGGAGCCTAGAGAAGAGCAGTCACCCTGGTTGCAGAGGTCAGGGAAGGATCACAGAGAAGCTCACACATCACTCTATTAGGGACCAGCCAGTCAAATGGAGGAAGCAAGAGGGAGCATTAGTAGGTCAGGTCTGCACAGGATACCTCAGTGGGGGAGGGAGGGGAGGAGGATGCTGAAAGTGGCAAGAAGAGAATGGAAAGGGGTGACACGAACGCTGAATTTCCTAAGTGTGTCCGATTGAGCTCATTCACCTCAAGGTTAACTTGGAAGTGTTTAAGAGTGACCACGATTGAGGCTGGTTGACATAAAAATATTTATTTCAGAGGAGAACACAAGTGAAAATATCTAAGAGAGGAGGGAGGGGGAGACATGAGGGCATCAGGAGCCGGAATCTCAACCATCTGGAATCCTGCTGAAATTTGGCAGCCCATTCGAGAGTCTCAGGTATCTTGCCAAAATATTTTTTTAAAGGAGGAAAAAACAATGATGCTGCCTGCTATAATAATGCACCAGAAACTCCTTACATTGACATTTACAGATTTCTTGCCAATGGCCCGGAGAGCACATAATGGACTGAGAGCAAAGGCAGCAAGGGGGAGAAAAAGCAACGAGTGATTGAGCTGTGCCTCCTTGGGTTTTTATTATCATTGCTGCCTTTAGCCATATGCTTTTCTTAGGCACTAACAAGCCTGGACCTATTTCAAAGGAATTCCTAAACCCGGATCTCAAAATCGTCATTACATCTCTGGATTGTCAGTGCTCTGTACAGGAAATGCACATTTATGGAAGTTCTTAAATGTTTCTCCATAAATGTTGATCAGCCTCTCCTGTCATTACATGAGATGCCTGGGATGTTGAAAATAGATGCTAATAAATTGCCAATCCAGCTTATTGCCAAGTAATGAAAAGCACTTCTCTTCCTTGAAACAGGATGACTTACCACTTCAGTGTGTTCTAGAAGCTGCATACAAAAGAGAATAAGATGATTTCTTTTTTAGTCTGTTTGGTTGTTCCTTATCACCGCCACCCCCCTACCACTTTCAAAAATGGAATGAAAACAGGTTCAGGCTGCTGGGAACACAGGATTTTAAGCACAGCATGGGCCCTGTTGGTGCTGTAGCTGTCATTCAAGACTTTTGTCATTCTTTGCCACCGCTGGATATCCATATGGTTATGGCTTTTCGCCCATTTCAGGTCTTCTGCCATCCTTTTTCTTGTCTCCCTTCCACATACCAACCTTGCTCAGTTTCACAAATAGAGTAACTAAAACAGAGGAGGAAAGGTCAGGTGGTTGATGAGTCAGGAACAGAGACTGGAATCCCCTAAAGCCAAATGAGGCGCTGGAACTCCGCAGTGTCCCTGACTCCATCTTCATCCCGAAGGACAGCATCCTGCTTTGCAAGAATGGTGGCTTCATACCAAAGGCTCTGGAAAACTAAAAGCCACAAGTACACTGCGTATTTTGTTAAGGCTTGTGTAACTGGAATAGAGACAAAGGGATAATCCTGTGAAAATACATGTCTCCCACTTTAGAGAAATTTTTGGGCTGCTGGAGTACACGGAGATGTGGCATAGGCTAGGATATTTCATCCAAAATGAAAGGCAAGTTGCTTCACCTTGTGCCTCAGCACTGAGAAGACCAGTGTTTCAAGGGCACCCTTGAATGTTGGAGGCAGCTTGGTTGCATTTTTAAGTGTCTCTTCCACACCACAATTGGATCACACTAAATGCTCCTTCGGAACCAGCACAAAGTCACATTCAGCTTCTTGAGAAGAAAATACGGAATCATTGAACTCGGGGTGGGGGGGTCACCTATTGCATGTGAGGCATTTTTCTAAGTACTTGATATATGTTGACCTATTTGATCCTCATAATGGCATACAGGTTTTATGCAGAACTAGCATTTGAACCTAAACATGTGGCTCCCAAGCCCTTGTTCTTCATCACCATGCTTTACTGCTTTTAATTTCAGAGCTGCTGGTTAATCTTGGAGACTGCAGTTTCCAGGTGATGCCCATTCCTCATCTATTCTATCATAATTCCAGTGTTCTTCAACCTATGGAGTGAATGATAAATTTAAATACTGCCTACCCACCCACTTACAGTAGTGAGAGGTGGGGATGAGTAAGAGGAAGAAATTTGCCATACTTACTATTTTAAAGAAAAGGAAAAAAAAGTAATTATTTAGTCCTCAAATACTCTGGAAGCAGTACAGAAATTAATTAAGAAAATGGTAATTCACACATATGAATTTTGGTCCTTTTTCTTTACTACCGCAATCGGGATGTATGTACCTTCAGGATCTGGAGATTATTTCAGTAACCAACAACTTTTAAAACAATATTTTTTCAGCACTTTCTTTCAGAATTGTAACTTCAGATAAAGGAACGTTTCTCATTCCTTTCTCACACAACCTTGAGTTCTGGTATGATTCTCCCCTTGGCTACACTTACATTCTACTTGTGTGAGAAAACACTGCTCTCCCAGTCCTGAGCCACCTCCCCAACCTTTCCTTTCACTGCTTAATAAAGGGAAGGTCCCCATTTTAGGGTTTACTTTGGAGAACTCCCAAATGTAATAGAACAAAATTCACTATTATTTTTAATCTCACACTGCCCTCTAAGGATGGTGCGGTCTTCTGTTTGCTAAATTCAAGTGACGTCATTTGTCTCTGCTATAATAACCTTCTATATTCTTGAGGGTAGGATTTAAATACTGGGGGGGAGGATGCTGTAGGTATGTAATTTTGGATACAGAAACTAGAAGAGAGCAAAATTACTGTGTTTAAGGAATTAGGAACCATAAAATAGAGATAATAATAGCTTCAAGACATAGGATTGCATTGAGGGCTGAATGAGGTAATTTGAAGTATCTGGGCACAGCTCTCAGCACATAGTGAAGACTGAACCAAGGTTAAAACGTTCTATACTGCTATCATTTTGTTGTTGGTGTTATATAAGCCTTTCTTGAAAAAAATATGCTAATGATAGAAACAGAATTAAGAAGAGAAAATAGAGGACTACAAATGATATTTGGAAGTGTTACTTGTAATATGAATTTAAACATAGAGTTAGGAATGAATGCTAAAGAAACTAAGGTTATAGAACAAAAGGTATATGCTATAAACTTGGACAATGAAAAGTGAAATAACATATACCAAAAGTCAGGGAATGGGAAGAAGTATGTATGCTAATTTGTTTTAGATTTGTTTCTAGAATACAGCATAGAGTTGACTTTGTGAACCAATCTGAAAGTCTTTCTAATACCTAAATTTTGCTCATTTATATTAATTAATATGAGGTGTTTGGCTTTGTTTCTGTAATATTTTGCTTTATACTTTCTGGTTTTTAGCCTTAAAAATATTTTGCTATGTGTTTGCTTTGTTTTCTTTTTCACTGCAATTTCATTGAGATAATTATAAATTCACATGCACTTACCAGAAAAAATACAGAGATCGCTTCTTGGCCTTTTGGCTAAGATCAAGTGTAGTATCTGTTGTTATAAGTTTAATATCTGATACGTCCTCTATCTGAGGGCATTATATTAAAAGGATTTTTGGAGCTGGGATATGGAACAGGAGCTTGCTCCATCCACTCTGTGCATCAATCTAGTATTGCAGTACTGCTGGGAATGGGGCACAAAAAAGAAAAAAAACAGAGACATCTCAGGTACCCTTTACCCAGTTTCCCCCAATAGTGACATTTTGCAAAGCTCTAGTACATTACCACAACCAATATACTGACATTGGTACAACCACCAATATTATTTAATTTTTCCCAGCTGTTTGCTTTGTTTGTAGTGTGTGTTCTTTTAATAATTTGGAAATTTTATATTTTATTCTAGATTCTAGTTTTGTAATTTTATGTAACTATCTTTTTAAAAAATTGAGATATATTGACATACAACATCATTGTATTAGTTTCAGGTGTGTAACATAATGATTATATATATGTAGATATATTACAAAATATTCAATAATTGCCAGAATAAGTTGAGTTAACATCTATCACCACACAGTTACAATTTTTTTTTGTGATGAAAACTTTTAAGACCTACTTTGTTAGCAACTTTCAAATATACAATACAGTATTGTTAACTATAATCATCATACTGTATACTATATCCCTAGGACTTACTTATCTTATAACTCAAAGTTTTTACCTTTTGACCCCCTTTACCCATTTAGCCACCCCCTGTGCTCCTGCCTCTGGCACTCACCAATCTGTTTTCCTGTATCTATGAGTTCAATTTTTTAAAAAAGTTTCCACATATAAGTGAGACATACAGTATTGTCCTTTTTCTGACTTACTTTGCTTAGCATAATTCCCTTAAGGTCCATCTATGTTGTCAGAAATGGCAAACTTTATCTTTTTTTATGGCTGAATAATATTCTGGGGTGTGTGTGTGTGTGTGTGTGTGTGTGTGTGTGTGTGTGTGGTTTATCCACTCATTTTCTTTATCCATTCCTCCATCGATGGACACTTACGTTGTTTCCATGTCTTGGCTATTGTAAATAATGCTGTAACAAACATGGGGGTACAGCTATCTCTTCGAGAGAGTAATTTCATTTCCTTTGGATGTATTCCCATAAGTGGGGTTGCCAGGTCACATGGTGGTTCTATTTTTAATTTTTGAGGAACTTCCATATTGTTTTCCATGGCGACCACACCAATTTATATTCCCACCAACAGAGTGCAAGTATTCCCTTTTCTTCATATCCTTGCCAACCCTTGTTATTTTTTTGTCCTTTTCATATTTATGTATCTTAATCTTCTACTTCTTAAGATAGAATGTATTGATTCCTATGAGCAATAGTGAAACTAAAATATTTATATTTCCTTCCCTTTTCCTCTACTCCTTTTCTTCCCCCACATAATTTTAATTTCTAATCTTACTTTCTTAAACTTTGTACTGTAAAATATCCTTCTCTCACTTGTTGTTGTAGCTTTTGTAGCCCAAGCTATTAGAGATGAAAAACACATTTATACCACAATGTCTTTATAACTTATCTTAACTTTGCACCCCCTTGCCATCTGAATTTTTGTCAGTTATATAATTTCTGGATTAGTTACAATCAATCTAATCTTTAATCATAGTCACTGCATGTGTTTTATCTTGGTCTACCATAATATTTATCCAATGATTTCTGCCAGTCTTTCTTTGTTGCAGCTTTTCCAATATTCTCTTGGTAGGCCTAAGTTTATTCTCTAATAGAATCCTCCATTTTGAACTGATAGGAATTTTCAGAATTTTTTTTTTTAATGTTAGAAGCTGTTTATCTGTTGCCTATATACTTCAATGACAGCTTGGCTTGGGATAAAAAGACTGTGCTTATTTTCCTTAACGCTTTTGTGATTCTTTCTTTGCAGTCTAACAACACTTAAAAAGTTGCAGTAAAGTCATTACTTTTAATGACAATAAAATTATTATTCTCAAGGAAAGGGGGAGAAGAGATGAGGAAAGAAAGACTGAGAAAAACCAGGGAAGTTACTGAATAATATGAATAAAAAAGTTATTTAAAATAATAAGATAAAATATTAGGTATAAAAACATAACACTTGAAATAATAGATGGGATAAATAGCAGGATGGGTTCATCAAAAAAATCAACTAGTAAGTCCGAAGATCATATTAAGAAGTTCTTTTAATAGGTAGCAGAAAATGTAACATACACAATACAAGCTAAGATATATAAAGAATAGAAGTAGAAATGCTAATAACATCTAGACAGCAGGAATCTCAGAACAAGAGAAGAATAAAATTAATGGAAAGTTATGTTTGAAATAATAATGATTATAATGTTCCCAGAATTGAAAAGTCTTAGTACATGTCAAACTGGGTAGCTAAGGGAAAAAATCACATTTGTACACTTTATAGTGAAATTTAAGAACATCAAAGAGAAAGAGAAAATTCTAAAATCTTCCAGAATTATCAAAGACAAAAAGTCTCCAGAGTTGATAACCTGCAAAAGTATAAGAACAATGTTGCATCATTTTTTTTTTTTACAGAAAAGTGGATCTAAAAAGTCAATGGAGTAACAATTTTAGAGTATTAAAGAAAAACAACTTCATTTCCAGAATTCTTTATGCATCTATTATAATCTAAATGTGAGACTATAACAAAGGCATTCACAGGCACAAAAGGCCTTAGAAGGTTACCACATAAAGAACACTTTGGAAATGTTCTTAGGGGAAGTATTCAAACAAGAAGAGAAATAAACCAAGAAGATGCTGCCAGCTACATGGGACATGGAGGGGTGATTAAATAATTTAGCAAATGTTATCATTGTCTCAAACCTTAATGTCCAAAGGATGAAAAGAGAAAACGTATATCTATAACAACGTGGAACAAATTTTCTAGACAATATAAAATTTGTCATGGTTCTAAGGGACATAGGAGTATATTAAATTTATCACTTTTTTGAGGGTAATATATTGATAAATTAAATACATTAATAGGAGTAAACAACATAAATGTCAAACAAAATAACATGACAAAAATAAAAGCACTAAATTTTATGTATCCAGTGGAAAACAGGAAAGGAGAGAAGTGAAACAAAATGAAGTAGAGTACTTGAAAATATAAAATAAGTTCCAGACAGTTCAATAAACATACTAAGATTTATCAATTAAAATCTTGAAACTCTCAAATAAGATAAAAAATAAAATAAAACAAGGTCCAACAATATGCTATGTATGTGTGACACTCTGAAAGCAAAATAAAAGAATAGGTTGAAAATTAAAGACTAGAGAAAGATCTGAACAAAAAGGAAGTTGGGTAACAATCTTTCTATCTGATGATATAGTTTCCTAAACAAAAATAATAAGAGACAAAGAGGATATTTATGTGCTGGGAAAAGGAACCACAGAACTAGGAAATATATAGCTATCCTGAACATATATGCAGCAACATAACCTCAAAATATATAAAATAACAACTGGCAGAATGCTGAAAAAGATTATCAGTCATCATCAGGGACTTTAACTATAAATTGATAGATCAGCAAACAAAAAATAAGCATGGATATAGAAAATCTGAATACTTTAAATAATATCTAGCTGCTAAATATATATATTGAACTGTATATATTGAACTCCACACTTAATTGAGAAAATATTTTTCTTTTTTAGTATAAGACAATATTTATAAAATTTTATCATATACTAGACAAAAAAGGAAGCCTTAAAAAATTCTGGAGTATCAATATCATACAGACTATTTTCTGTAAAGAACCAGATACTAAATATTTTTGGCTTTGCAAGCCAGATGGTGTCTGTCTTAACTATTCAATCTACAGTTGCAGCACAAAAGCAGCCATAGACAATACATAAATGAATAGAGATGTTCCATAACTTTATTTACAAAAGAGTGTGATTGAACAAATTTGAAGCATGAACTGTAGTTTCTTGACCCCTAATATAGATGAATGTGGACATTTAAGACTGTACTAGTATAATTTGTGGTTTAGTAATCCCACCCTGCATATATATTTCAAAGAAATTCTCTCACAGACCCATACAGGGGGCAATCTGGAGATTGCAATACTCTTTGCAGGGATTTGGGGGCAATCTAAGTGTTGATCTTAGTGGAATTGTGTAAGTAAAATATAGTGGATAAACCCCAGGGAAGACCATGTAGCATGTAGGAGCAAAAAACTAGATGTGCTCAAGCATCATGAATATATATTAATATTCAGTATGTGATTTTTTTTGACTTGCCTCTTTTCACTCAACATAATGTTTTCAAGGTTCATCTATGTTATAGCATGTATCAATACTTCACTTCTTTTTGTTACCAAGCAATATTCCAACATACAAATATATTAAATTTTGTTTACCCATTCATCAACTAATAGACATTTAGGCTATTTCTACTTTTTCACTATCATGAATGTTGCTGCTATAAATATGCATGTACAGGTTTTTGTGTGCACATATGCTTCCATTTTTCTTGGGTAGAGCCTACAAGTGTAATTGCTGGGTTATCTTGGGGTCGATTGTATTTTCCTAGTATCCTATAGATCAGTGATGAGGGGGTACTAAAAGGAACTATATCACTACAAGTTTTCTATATTTTATATGAAGTGGTTCAAGGTTAACTTTCAACTGTACAATTGAAATGATTAAAATGACAAATGTTATAGATATTTTACCACAATGAAAAAAATTAAATATAGAGTTACCATATGACCCATCAACTCATGATAGCTAAGTGAAAAGGAGCAAGTAATAAAAGAACATGTATGATTTCATTTATATGATATGTACAGAATAGGCAAATCCATAGAGACCAAAAGCAGATTGATGATTGCCAGTGGTTGGGGATGTAGGCAAATGGGAAATGACTGCTAATGAGTCCTGGGTTTCTTTTGGGGGTGGAGCAAATGTTCTCAAATTTCATAGTGTTGATGATTGCGCAATTCTGTGAAAATAATAAAAATGACTGAATTTGTATACTTTATTTTTCTTCCTTTTTTATTAAGTCTATTGGAGTGACACTGGTTAATAAGATCATGTAGTTTTCAACTGTACCTTTCTATGATACATGTGTATATTGCATTGTTGAAGAGTGAATTTAAAAGGGTGAATTGTAAGGCCTGTGAATTACATCTCATGAAACAATTATTAAAAACCTGTGCATATGCA